AGCCAAGGGGCAGCCTCCAGAGCTCTGCCTGCTGGGACAGAGAGAGCCAAGGGGCAGCCTCCAGAGCTCTGCCTGCTGGGACAGAGAGAGCCAAGAGGCAGCCTCCAGAGCTCTGCCCGCTGGGCTGGGGTGGGGCAGGCAACAGGGGGAATGTCAGTGATGATGGGGGGGCACGCCCAGGGCACTGTGAGAAGCGGGCAGACCAGGGGCAGGAGAATCACAGGAGCACATGTGTCCTCATGTAGCCAGATGTGGTTTCACACAGGACAGAGCAAATCTGAGAATTCCAACTGCAGAGCAAGGGGACACTGGTGAGGTGGACAGTCACTACTCTGTTCACCCACAGGAGGTCCTAGGTCTTTAACAACTAGAAAGTCACAATATGGGGAATACACTTTATTTGCCAGTATAATAAAGGACGGCGTCACAGTTCCGCCTGCCGAGGTCCCTGGTGGAGGGTGGGCACAGGCTGTGCTTGGTCTGTGCAGGTCCAGGCACACCAGCTCCAGGGTTTTTATCATCACAAACCCCACCTGAGAGTCCTCAGCATGAGGGGCTGGGGAGCCTGCGGCCTTGGGACACATGTGCTCTTCTGCGCCCTCCAGCACGGCCCTTGGACTGAATCCAAACTTTACAGAACAGTAGCAGTAGTGTTCGTGTTGCCTCAGTTCCTAGAAGTGGGATTTCCAGGACGGAGCGTTTGTTGATTTTACATTCTGAGATACTGACCATGCCTTCAGAAGGACTGTTCCAAACTGTGCCCACCAAGAGTGGGGTCAGAGAAAATGGTGGTAGGAACTGAAAAGGCCAGTCCTTCCACAGAAACACTGACCAGGAAAAACAGCTGGTAGAATCAGCTTTACCTGAACTGTGGAATAGAGGAGAAGGCCGTCCCATCCTGCCATGCCCAGCAGAGCAGAGGCCCTGGAACGGGTGCTGAGACCACAGGAGCAGAAGGGCCTTTGCCCAAGAAAGCGTGGGTGTCTCTCTACCTGAAGGACCCACACCAAGGGCTTGCCTGTATTTCCCCAAACTCAGAGGTCTCTCAAGGCAAGAAGAGGCTGCCTGGATGGTGTTTGTCAGAACATTTAAAGTTAACAAGCCAGTCACCTCCACTAGAGGCAAAAGATGTCAGCTGGGCAAACAAGGGACACCCCCACCCCAGCCTGGGGGAAGAGCTAGGGAATGAGACAGGTTGGGAAAGCAATAAAAACAACAAAGAAACAACAATAACCACAAAATCCCAGAGGCCAGAAGGAAAGGTAGTTCCCCTCTGGCTGAACTGCAGGCTCTGAGTGCAGGAAGAAGGTGGAAAGGGAGGTAGGTGGAGTGAGTCCCAGGGGTGTGTGAGGTCCCAAGGCAGAGGCAGCTGCAAAGCCCCAGGGAGGAAACTTTCTTTAACTCTGGGGGTTTAAGGAACTCTGGCAAATCACTATCTGAACTAATGGAATGGTGACCACATGTGGCAAAGAATATGTTATTATAAAACAGGGTTAGAACAGTGACAAATGAAAACAAGCAAACAACCAAAAAACAACTATAAGCTACAACAATCAGCAACAAACTGTGGAGAGGAAGGAGACCATGAATCCAGACTTATCCCATTTTAATATTACGGCCCCGTTTCTAAAAAAGTTTTGAGGAAAGCAAAGATGCAAGAAATACAACTTATTCCCAGGAGGGACAAAGCGGTGAACAGAAAGTGTTCCTGGGGAACCCAGGCCATTGCACTTACTACGCAAAGCCTTCAGAGTAGTCTGTTACACAGGCTCCAAAATAGGGACAAAGAGTTAAAATGAACCAGGAGAGTGAAGCTTCCTCAAAGAGGGACTATCAATAGAGAAACAGAAATGTTTAAAAGGGATCAAAATAAAATCCTGGAATTGAAAAGCACAAAAATTGGAATTTGAAAATTTCCACAGCAGATTTGTGTGGCAAGAATAACTAGTAGTGAGTGTGAAGATCAATCAAATTCGAGTCGAAGCCATAGCTGGAAAAGAAATGAAGGACACCTTCTCAGACCTGCGGGACCTCACACACCAACAGGGACCTGACAGGGGCTCCAGAAGGGGAGCAGAGAGAGGAAGGAGCAAAAATATAGGGCGGCACCTATGACTCAAAGGAGTAGGGCGCTGGCCCCATATACTGGAGGTGGGGGGTTCAAACCCAGCCCGGCCAAAACTGCAAAAAAAAAAAAAAAAAAATTAAAAAAATATATATCTGAAGACACAACAGAGAAAAACTCCCCAAACTGCTGAAACACATTCATCCCAATCTTCAAGACATTCGATGAACCCCAACTGGAATAGACTGAAAGAGGTCCACAGAGAGATAGGTTACAATTAAAGTTTCATGTGTCAAAGGTAAAGGGTTAATCTTAAAATCTTCTGGAGAGGCTCGGCGCCTATAGCTCAACCGTCTAAGGCGCCAGCCACATACACCTAAGGTGGCGGGTTCGAATCCCCAGCCCGGGCC